GCATAAACTTTAAAAGTCAAGTGAGAAAATATTACTTGGGTAGTATTATTAATGTTAGGGCTTGAATGTATTGTCTGGTTTGGTTGCCTACAATACTGCAGTAAGAGGAGGGAAGAAAATGAGGACCTGACAGAAGCCCAGAAGGACTTGGTAGCTGGAAGCTGGAGTAACTAATGGAGTTCTGAGATAGGGCTGTGCCAGTGAGAAGAGTGACTGGAGTTAAAGCTTGTGCTCACTTAAAATGTTAAAGGCAAGAGATCCTGTTACAAGAGGTGTTCAAGTACAAGCAGTAGTTCTGAGCTTGAGGAAGAAGCCCTGGAAGGGGTTCCATGGTGTGCCAAGATCACAGGGTAAAATTCTGCTTTTGACATAAATGAGGAAGTGTTTTGCTAGGCCGCAGTTTTATTTAAAAGACACATTTCTTTGAACTTCCAAGAGGATTTTGCCTCCCTGACACTGAAAGACAACTTTTGAGATTATGAACTACAGGAAGAATATTTGCTGGGTTGTGAGGATCCACGAGCTTCACTGAGCTGCAGTAAGGGAATTAAATTTGCCCAGATCATATCACAGTCATAGTAATACAGTGTACAGTTGGGCTTTATTTATCATCTCTAGATTAGAAGATGTTCATTTAACAGTATAAAACTCACTTGTTCTGTTTGGCTAATTGAAATGTTTAAGACCTGTATCTAAAACATATGTCTGCTGTAAATTGGTGCTCATATTTAGGAGCTGGATGAGCTCTTGAAATAAAAGCTGCACCTTTTGGACTACAAGTGCAAAAAGGAGGCATTCCCAGTTGTGAGTTACAGAGGCACTGATTGTAAATTCCCACTGTAAATTTGTATTACATAGGTAAGCTACTCAACTCACTCCTACTTGTTATCTTGTGTGCTTCTCCTGCTCCAGAAATGTCACTCCAGGTTGTGTACAGCCCTCTTACAGAGAAATTTCTAATCTTCTATAAAGTTTGGCTTTGAAGTCAACTCTACAGTGCCTCTTCTGTTGCTGACAGATCAGAAGTAATGTGTACAACTCGGGAGACTTCACAGAACCACTGCCTCCTCAGCTGAGAAGGTTTTTGTTGTTTTGTGGGTTTGGGTGTGTGTTTCTGATCAAAGCCTGCTGGAAATACATGAGCCATTAAAGAAATCGACTTTGATTAGGTTTTTCCTTGAAGCTGATTAATGTTGGGTAATTGATTTACCCTCATGGTAGGATGGATTTTCCTTCTTTCACACACCCTGCTCTGCCTCCCACCCTCTCCAAATCCCTTGGCTGGCTTAGGGTTGGTGAGCAAGGACTGCATTCAGTGGTTGTGAACAGTATGTCCCTCACACAGAGGCTGGACCTGGCTTGGAAACTCACAGAAGTTTAGATTGTAGTAATTGAGGGAGTAGATTTCTTTTGTTGTGCCTGGGTTTGTTTCTTTTAACTCTGTCATTACTAAAAGAACAATTGATTTTGATGTCAAATGAGTAGATTGATATAACTGGCCCAAAGGACTCAAAGTTTCTGTTGTCTTTTAAGTCTACTCATTCTCCCCAGTCTTGAAAATACAATACCTTATTTCTTCTCACACATACATAAATCTTCTGAAGGATTGGAATAAATGAGTATTAAATATCACATCCTAACACAGGTTTTGTGAACTTACTTTACCAATATTTAACATTAGCGGACCCTATTTTTAATGTTATTTTGTTCCATAACTTATATTACAGAAATTCTGAGATAGTGTGCTGAGCAACATTTCTGAAGCATTATTTTAAAGTATGTTGGCTTGGGTGCCTTGGATTTAAATAATTAAAACATTTCTGACATTGGGCTCAGTTCTTTTCCTACAAGCATCTAGATTTCTCAGGATGACTGATTTTTATTCCATTTTATGGAATAATGGTTGTATCCCTTTCCAGTGAAATCAGTCTGGATATTTTAGAACAGCAGGAAGGACCTGTTGAAATCCAGAAATGTCCAAAGGAGTGTGCTGATTGAGAGTGGATCTTTCATTGACAGCTAGAGCTGGGTGTAATTCTTAGTGTAACTTTTTTTACTCTTTGTATATCAGCTGTTAGCTTACAGATGTTGTCTGGCAGCTACATTTTTTTGGTAAAACTCTCCTTAACATATCCCTGTTGACATTTGAGGTGAAATATGAACATGTGTTCCTAGAATATCCGTGGTGATGTCAGTGTGTCTGTAAAATGTCACGAGGCACCCAGCAGCACACGGAGTTTGCAGAGCTCTGGGGCAGAATTCACTGGGGACACCTGAAGTGCTGGCTCAGTCTCATTCTGTGTGCTGGGGCTGAGCTTAGCAATTCCTGCAGCACTGGGACCTATAGCCAGTATATGGGTATATATAGCATATATATATGGTATATATGCTATATCTATAGTATGTGAGTATGTGAAGACCTGTACTCCTTGGTTCCACTAGCCTATAGAGAGGCTACATTTTGTTTCATGTGTAGAGGTTTCATAAATCCCTTCAAGCCTGGCCTTCCTTCTTGTTTTCCCTGTGGAAGCAGTTTCTTGGAACCTGAGGAGTGCATGTGCTGGCAGATTGATTATTGAAGCAGGCCAAATTCCTTTGGTAACAGCAGCGTGTTAGTACTGATTTCCAAGAGTGTGCATCACCACCTTTTCACAAGGGCTTGATTAGTTCCCTTGTGATGTTTCCTTTTGATGGCTGCCCAGAATGAAATATGCAAACAGGGCAGCATAAGCTCACTTCAAAGAATAAGAGCTCAAAGAGTCTAATCTTGGCTGACGAGAAGCTTATACTAGATCAAGCTTTCAGTAATGGTTGCAAACTAGCAAGCTTTGTTGAAACACTCTTGCAGCTGGGATGCAGTGGGTAGGTAGAGAGGCAGGCAGTCCTGAGGTGTGAGGGGAAATGGAATCTCCTGTGGTTGAGGGTCAGCTGGATAATCAGGATGCTGGTTCTGATGGTGTCTCAATTCTGTAGAATTGTAAGCTAGACCTTGAGCTCTGTCACTACAGGTATATCCAGTCCCCTTCTCCTGTTAAGGAGGGAAATACTTCACCCATGGCACAGCTGGCCTGAACAGGTTTGATTCCTGGGAGTGACATGTGTTGGCTTTGGTTTTGATCCATTTTTCCTTTTCTGCTCTGAAGGTGATCCATACTTCTACCCATAAATCCTTCCCGTGTGACTGCACCACCTTGAAACACATTTATCTACTTCAGTGAGAGAAGAGCATGAGCTAGGATTTTTGGAGGTTGTTTAATTCTATTGGGTTTTCTTTCCAGAACCAGCCTGTCTTCCTTTTCTTCCATGGTGTCTGAAACTTTATACTTAGAGCTGCAGACAAATGCAAATTCAGGGGGAATGTCTGAGACACCATATTAGTGTGCTACCAAGCAGGGGGATCTCTTACAGACCAGAGAAGAGGGTCACCACAAATCTTATAAAGAACCTTTAGAAGTTAGTAAAGGGAAATGCCAGGTCCTACACCTGGAGAGGAAAAACCCCATGTCTCAGTACAGAGTAGGGACTGAACAGCTGGAAAAGAGCTTGGCAGAAAAGATATTGATGGTTCAAGAGCCTCCTGGATTGCATCAGGAGTTGTGCTGCCAGCAGGCTGAGGGAAGTGATCCTTCCCATTTTCTGAGTGCTGCTGAGACACTTCTGGGTTCTAAGTTTAGTTTTGAGCTCCCCTGTGCAAGAGAAAGTTATTTTAGTTAGCACTGACTCTTGGTTTTGAGGCAGAGACAGAGAAGTCCTTTGTTAAAGCTGGAAGTAAAGATTGCAGTGCTTTCCCTCATAAACAAGGAGAGATAGGAACCAAGACCCCTCGTGATCTGGAAGTCTCAGTGTTCTGTGAACACGATAAAATGCATTGTTCTGTGTCTCCATCACCACTGTGAGAGTCTGGAGAGCTGTGACGAGGTGATGCCATGATGTGACCTGTTCTGCCTTTTCTCAGAGACCCTGCTGATGAACACATGCTTTTGGTGGGAGTGCACCTGAACAGATTGATCTACTGAGAAGCTGCACATGGAGTTTTTCTTGTTTATTGAAGACCTTTTCCCTTCCATGTCAAAACTGTTTGTCTTGTAGCTTTGTGGCTGGTTAAGATTCATGGGCTGCTTCCCTCCAGCCTGCTGCTTTTTAGGAAAGCTTTTGGAAGATGGGCAGCTTGTGCAGCTGAGGGCTGTGCCTCTGCCTTCTCCAGAGCAGGGCATTCCCCTGCCCTGTTGTGAGGGGCTGCAGGAGCAGCTCTGGCTGTGTGGTCAGAGTCCAAACATGAGCAGTTGATGTCAGGAGGAGTTCCAAAACTCAGATGTGAGTCACAGGCTGCCAGGGACTGGTGGACATGCTGAGGACTTGGTGGTAAAAGGGTGACCTCAACAAGCAAACCAGGGTGAAATCCCTTCTTTGCACCAGAGAGTGTGGTGAGATGCATCTGCATGTGAGAGGAAGCCACAGGGTTCTTTGTCTTCTGAGAGTGCAGAGTACCTGCAAAGGGTGTTAGGGAGCCATTAAAACCAAACAGTATTGATATATTGGGAAGATAGGAAGTATTTTGACTTTAGTATTCCTTAAGTGCTGAAGGCAAAGAAAACAATCCTGCTTTACTTCTAAGATCTTCCTATGGAGTACTCCATAATAAAGGTTCTGATGTAGGAGCTGCTGGTTATAATGCCCTAAGTTTTAGCTTTCATATTTTCCAGACTCTGCACTGCATTAGTATATAACTCTGAACTCCATATAAAGTGTTACAAGTTCTCCTCCCAGCTCAGTCACACCAAACAATCCTTTTCCAGCCCCACAACCAAGGACACCGCTGCAGCTTCAGCCCCAAAAAGTGCAAACAGCAGAGAATTGAGGAGAGAATCTGGGAGGATGGGACTGCAGAACCTGGAGCTGGAATTGGACAGTTAACCCCAGTATGGAAATGGATCAAAACTTATAAAAGTGTGAAAACTCGTGACTTGGGGTCTATCTTGGGTGTAGCTATGGCCAGGCTCGTGCACTGCCCAAGGTGAATCCTTTGAAGACCTTTTAATAAATCCCTGCTTTATTCCTTTAACTCTGTCCAGCCTCTGTTCCAGGTAAGCCTCTTTAGGCAGCAGTTACTTGCAGCACTGAGCCCATGGATGCTGGTCTGCCTCTTGAAATTGTCCCAGGGACACTTGGAGCCCTCCTGCTACTGAGCTGAAATCTCCCCATCACTGAGGGCAAGTGTGTCAGGAGCCTCCAGCAGCAGCAGACTGCTGCTAGGGGAGATACATAACCTCATTTTGTGTTCTGTACCAGCTTGTGCTGTGACACTTAAGTCCAGCAGTGGAATACTGCTGTGAAGGGAAGTAGATGGTTTCCTTTCTGGAGCTGTTTTTGATTCAGTCATTACCCATAGGGACAATGAGTATCTTTTCAATGACTTCTTCAGGAAACCACACCAGGGTTTTCCTCTGTCATTGTGAAATTGTGCTTTTGAGACACGAGAAGCTCGTGATTCATAAAGTTATGAATTGCATTTCTTTCCGAATCAATCTGCTGGACAGGGCTGCCTCTTGCCTGGGGGAAGCAGAGCTGATGGGGTTGTGTAAAGAGGTCCTGACTCTGGGTGGGTGCTTGGCTCCTGGAGCTGACCTACTTTAGCCTTGATTTGCTCAGAGGTGTTTGTATACTCGTGATCAGCCTTGCTGCATGATTAAGCTGGCCACGTGTCGTCTCACTTTTTTTTTTCCTAAGGGATGAGCAGTAAGATTTGTTTTTGCTGTCTCATTAGCCTTGTTTCAGGGGATCAGAGGAGGATGGAATGCAAGGAAGGGGAATCCCAAGGAAGTAGTCCCACACAGGCTGTAGAGACAAACTGTCATGGATACAGTGACAAAATAAGATTTGATTCTCCTCTGCAGGAGAATTCAGTCAGGAAGTAGACTCCATGGCATTTTTTCAAGTAGGTCCTTAGAGTTCTTTGGCAGCAGGTTTGGTGTCATAAATGGGAGACTTGAACTTTGCTTGTATGTATGGGTATCTTTTGTGTTCCTCCTCAGAGAGAATTTTTTTAGGCATTGAACATCCAGCAGATGGAGGCTGAAAAGACAGAAAATATTAAATTTCCTAGAATTTCAAGAAAGCCTTGTGAAAAGACATTTCTCTGACCTGTTCATTATTTAGTAGGGCATGCTGATTTTTGCTCTGATCATTGAGTTGACATCTTCTTAACTCTAAAACTCATTTCAAGAGACATGCATGGTTCCTAACTCCTGTAATGCTAAAATGTAGGACTGTGATTGTTAGGACTCAATGAGCATTTGGGACATGGTGGAGAAAGGGCTGACTGAAAAATAAATTGAGACTTTTGCTCTTTATGTATCTTTTTCTGCTTAAATGGTCAAGACACTTAAAATAGCTGCTTTGAAACTATCAAATATAGACAGGTATAAAACAGCACAGCTGAATGGATACCTGATTTCAAGATTTTTTTCTTTAAAACCGATGTGAAATTTGTTTTTTGAGGTGAACAACAATTTGTTTTTTGCATTAGTGCCTGGTGGCTTGTGCAGTGTTCTGGTTCTGAAGCTAAAATGCTGACTGTTGTAGGCATTCTTAAAGAGAGAGGACTGTGGAAACTTGCAAATCCTTTTTCCTCCACCCTCTTTTTTCTTTGTTCATTCCAGCTCATCCCAGTCATATGTCTGAACTCATCATAGGTGGTCCATGGAATTACCTAATGCAGGATAATGTGAGTTCAGCCAGCACCCTCACATAGAGAGGTGTTCAGAAACACACTGAGTTTAGCTGTAAGTAATTTCTGCTCATCAGCTGAGACTGAAGATAATGTGTTTGGGTCTGAACCAAGCACAGAGAGATGGCCAGTGACTGGTTTTGCTGGAAAATTGAGATGCAGCAACAGTAACAGCATTGAGTGTGTCACTGTTGGGCTGCTGGGGTAAGAGAGACCCAGCAGCCAACTGGGAAAAGGCTGGCACAGGGAGACAGTAGGGCCTGACCTACAAAGAGCTGGGGGTGTGAATGAAAGCCTTGCAAAACAAATATGGTTACTCATTCAATGGCATTTCATCTTTTAACTTAAATTTGGGCTGATTTAGCTTTGGTCACTTCTGCTTCCAGCTAGATGTGCCTCTAGCAGTATTTCCACACACATTGTCAAAAGTGGAAGAGAGCTTGGTTGGGTTATTTGTTATTTGGGAAAGGACCACAGAGGAGTTGTTGGGTGAGATGGACAATGAGCCATCAGCAACAGTGCCAGGACCAGAAATTTAGATAATTTAACCTTGTGAAACTCTGAATTGGCTGTTCTAGCAGAGCTGAAGGAAATGATAACAAGCGACTTTAGGATTTTTTTTATTTTTTTTTTTTGGCTAATAACTCATAGCATGTCTACATACAGGCTTCAGCAGAGTTGGTTACAGTGTGATCATGTTGACAGGATGTTTGGCTTGTAACCTTCAGAGGGTGTCATGGGAGCTTCTTGTTCTGTGTGCTTGGGAAGTTCTACTGCTGTCACAGGTTGGGAAAGGCAGTCAGGATGCTCCCAGGTGCATCAGCCAGAGAACTGTGTCCAACAGACTTTGGAAGTTTCCTTGCAGGAGGAAAATGTAGAAGAGTTTCTAAATCTTCCATAGTAAGTTTTGCTGAAAAGCTTGTTTTGTGACAGCAGTGTGGAAGGGAAGGGCATCCACATGTTTGTTGTGTAGTGAGGAGGCACATTTGAGGGCTTGAGTTGTAGTATGGGATATGGATTTTATCTAAATCTTGAAGCCTGCAGAATAAAACCATGTTTAACCCCTGTCCTTCCAAGATGCCAACTGCTGTTGCAGTGGAAAATTAAAACAGTAAGCCAAGCCCAAACTTAGGACCACCCTTCAAGTCAGTCAGGAGTGAAGGGTGAGTCTGTCCTTTGCTCTGTGACAGCAATTTAACTCATTCTGGGAGCACCTGACACCAAATGTGATTGTCATTGTGTGACCATTGTGAGCAGGGGGGGTTTGTGCAAAGACCACAGGATGGTTAAAGGGGCCCAGAAGGAAATGGTGCCAGAAATTCCTTCTGCCCAAAGTTTGGTCCATTGGAGATGCACATCCCAACACCTAAACCTTTGGATGGATGGATAAAGCTTCTGCTCTTCGTAAGGAAATGAATATTTGATCCCTGAGTTGGAAACATCTGTTGCTTTTGAAACTTTGTGTAAAACAATTGTTTTTAAGGCATTTTTTAAGCTTGCTGGTTTTCCTTGCATTCAGGTTTTTGAAAGCATTTGACCAACAGAACATGAGGCATGGAAGAGTTCTGAGGTTATCAGCTGCTTTGGGCTGAGCATCATCATCTTTGCCCAAGTAGATTTAGGCTTCCAAGACAGGCCTTCAGGTAAAAACTCTTCTCTTTCACAGCTGATGCTATTCAGAAAGGAACTTTTCACAGGGTTTATTCCAACAGTGTAATTATTTTCAGTCTAGAGGATTAAATAGTGAATATTTGAATTATTTGCAGTCCTGAGGATTAAAAAGCCAATTTGATTCATTTGTACTTTTAACTAGACTTTTCAGACCACCATTGGGTTATAATATCTTTGTGGAGTCAGCTCTGCAGAGGTGTTTATTTCTATGGAAATGTGATAAATTCAGTGGGAATTGAACTTTAAAAGTTTGTGAACTCTAATGTGGTCTTCAAATGCAGAGACACATTAAAACAAGTGTTCCCTGTCAGAAGTATTCCCATTAGGTAAAAGCAATTGACTGGCCAGGTAACATAAGAGTAAACCTGGTTTAGTTCAAGATCATTCTGACAAATTTAAAAACAATTGTGTTATATAATGTGTTTTGAGAGTGGTCATGTTAACTGAAAAAGGAGAAATTTCAGAAAGAGGAAAGAATAGAAACTGATTGTTGCAGTTTTAAAATAATGCTAAGTTTGAGATAACTTTTTTGGTTAAAAACATGTAAGTGTCTGCTTATATTAATGCAGTGTTTTTTTGTTGGGGGGTTGTTTTTTATTTCTTCCCTAATGTTAGACAGTCCAATGGCAGACCAAAGGATGGACATATCTTCTACAATTAGTGACTTTATGTCACCAGACCCTGCTGACTTGATCTCCAGTTCCCTTAGCACTTCAGGAATGGACTGTAATAGGAAAAGAAAGGGAAGCTCAACTGATTATCAGTAAGTTGGATTTCTCTTGATTTAGCACTGCTAAAAGGATGTGGTAACACAACAATACAGTGGGGAAGACTATAGAAATATTTGTAACAGTTTTAAAATAACCTCTTCTTTACAACCTGCTTTAAAGGTTTTAATAAAGAAAGCTACTATGCACTAAGAGGCAAGTTCATTATTTTATAATAATAATAATAAAAATAAAGCTGTCATCTCAGTGCAGCTAGAATTGAGGGCTATCACATGGGGTAAGGCTGAGGAGAAAATCTTCTGACTGGTGGGGGAGTAGAATTAGTACTGATGAAAGGTACAGTGTGAAGGTTGATTATATTGATATTGTTTACATAGGAAATACAATGCCTGACTAACAGAGGGAGGAGATAATAAATTTATTGAAAAGTGGAAGTAAAACTAGGAGTAGTCCCTTTTCTTCACCTATTTTTTGCCTATTAAGTCACTTCCTATCAATGTGCTGCCAGCCTTTGCTTGATGAAGCAATTTTGGCTCTCATTTGAATATGAATCTGAATAATCTCTGGTTTGAGGTATTAGAGCTGTCTTTCTTTTAACCAGCTGATTTAACCTTGTAGTGATTCTCAACTGTAGAAGGAAATCCCACCAACTCTGCTTTAGAGCAGTGAAGGGCACAGCAGAGTTTGCCAAGCTGCCAGACCTGCACTGGGAGCACCCAGAGCAGCCTACTTAACTGCAAGTGCCTGTGCAAGCCTCCTCTGCTTTGTAACTTTGCAAAGTGTGGCTGCAGGGGAACTTGTGAGTGGCCACATCCATTATTCATCCAGCCACAGAGTCCATTTTTATGTAATTTAAGCACAGATTTTATTGCTGGGGGCGTTTGGATTGTTGACAGCTCTTTTTGCCAGGAGGGGCAGAATTTTTAATCCATGCTGAGCATCACAATTAAGAATTAGATTCTTTTTAAGAGAACTTATGCATGAAACTTTAAATACCTCTCTGGACTGCCTTTAGTCTCTCTGAAAATCACGTGTCCCTCTAGTCGAATTGACTACAACAAAATTGAGTGAACAGCCTCAATCCCACCAACTTCCTCTTCTCTAGAAAGGTTTTCTCCATTTTTATTCCTCTGGGTAGGAAGCATCACTCAAGTCTTCTTTTCCAAAAGACAGCTTGTTCTTGTAAGGTATAAATCTGCCCTTTAGGTTTTGTGTGCGTTTTTTAAAATGTGTGGAAACTGTTTCCTTGAATCCTTAGTAAAATAAGTGTACTTCTTTTGTAGTCATACACTTCATACCAATTGTGTAGTCATACCACAGTTCATTTTATGTTGCAAAGTCATCAGCTGCACTTTCAGCTCCCCACAACAGTTTTTTAGTTCTTTCTGCTGCAGCTCCTCCAGGAAAATTCCTGCCCAGTTTATTGCTGTCACTTCAGCAAGGGCTGGTCCAATGCTGTTGTCCAAGACTCCATGCACAGGACTATGAACAGTAGATTTTAAATTTCTTTTCTTGGGAGTAATGTTTTCAATTGAAATATTACACGATGAAAAAGCAAACTACTACCCTGATGCATTAGTAACTTACCTTGTACCTCTTCTAGATTTTGCTTTCTAGGGGTTTTTACTCACAAACCTCCCAGAGCTAAAGATGAAGTCACAAGGGCTGGTAAATTGTGAGCATCAGGACTCAGTGGCTAAGACAATAACTCAGGTGTGCAGGTTGGGAGATGAAGAAAACATTTAGCATTTATAATAATTGTTATTTTGAAACTGATCAGAGATAATCAGTCTAAGAGTGCAGTGAGTAATACACGAAGAGCTGCCATGTTTGTTTAAGAAAGCTCGTGTCCAGTGTTGAACAGGAATAACTGGGATGTTATTGGCTGAGGTGAGAAGACTTTTTCATAAGGTTCTTGTAAAAACACAGCCTCTTATCATGGTAAAGCTCAGTGGTACTTCAGGTCCCTTTACAGTCCTGAAGTGATGCCAGCAGTTAGAAATGCATGTAGAAATTCTGTTTAATGTCCTCGATGAAGTCTGTATAAAGTTCAGCTTGGGACTTTGGACTAAAGCAAAATGTGCATCTGTCCTGCTGGGCAAGAATCAAAAACTGAGAAACTTGGGATACTTTATTTTTATTTTTATGTTTTATTTCTGGCCTTAGAGTCCTCTGAAATCCCATTTATCTAACCACAAGGACAACTCGCATAAAGCACAGATCTTTCCTTTCTGAAGATGAAACAATATCTCAATGATTTGCATAACATAATTTAGGTTAGTTGTTTTATTAGTTGTTCACGTTAAGTGTAATGAACTATGCTCTCTTTTTCTTAAAAAGCAGAATTATTCTTTCAGAAAGTAGATTAATTTGAACAAACTTGTTTCTTTAGAAAACGCTCACTGCTATTGTCCTGTTTTCATTGTGCTTTTCATTTCAAATAGAATATGAATTGTCTTGAGAATTTCAGCAGAAAATGTAAGACATTGTTCTTATTTCCTATATATGGTGTACTTTATTTTTCTTTCTTTTCAGGCTCGATGGCTTTCCTTTTGAGTAAGTATAAATATTTTAGTAATTGGTTTCACTTGGAAAAGATGCCTAGTGTTTTTTTTTTTCCCTGCCTTTTGCTACCATAGACTTAAAATTCACAGGTAAAAATTAAAATAGAATGGACAGGCCTAGGAATGTCCATGTAAGCATAGTTGTACAGATTTACATAAATCAAAACATTCTCCTCATAATTATTTTGTCTGAAAAAAGATGTGTAATTGTGGGCATTTAGTTTTTTTACCAAGTATAGCTGTGCAAACTTATACTCTCCTCTCCTGCTTAGTTGTGCACTTGTGGCTACAATATAAAATGTGATAAGGGGGATTATTTCTATTCTTCATACCTCTCTCCTTACTTCTTTTCTTCATGGTGAAACAAAGGCACATCATGTATCTACACTGGAAGTTGTACTAATTTCCAATGTGCCTGATTAGTTTCACACAGGCTTTTATTCTCTCCATGCATTTGGCCCTCTCCAGTGGTGTGTTAATTCAGGTTATTACCATTTTCTACCCCAAAATCAACTACTGTAAGGCAAACTGAGCTATGGAGCATACAGGTATCTGCACAAAGTTGGGTTTTTTCCCCTTCCTCTAGTTAACTGAAAAACATTTTTGTAACAGATGATATCTTTGAACTGCAGCATGTTTTGCTGTCAAACACATCAAACTGTGCCATTTAGTGAGTTCTGAAGAAGACATTACTAATTTAAGAGAATGTTTTAATGTTACAAAAACCACACAGCTTCCTCAGTCCTTCCAGGTTGTTGATTTTATATTCCTATTTTTCTATTGATGATTTAGAGACAGCAGGAATACTTGAATCTGACTTTATGGTAGTTGGATAACAGTTCTGCCAGTCCTGCTGAATTTGTGATGTGTTGCTTTGTTCTGTTTCTGCAGGGAAGGTATGGATACAGATAAAGATGACCAACATGGAAGGTACTGTTGATACAGTCACTGAAATCTCAGTTCCACAGTTCTGACACAGGATCCTGACTGTGGATGCCTGTTCTCAGTGTCACTGTGGTCCCAAAGTGTTGCTTTGCTGGGATGAAGGAATAATCTAAGCAATCTTAGTTTAAACAGCATGGAACAGATAAACTAAAACACCCCCAAGTCTGAGGCACAATGTTATAGATGCTGATCTTTGCTGTAGAAAGGTTAAATAAACATTCAAATTCTAAAAAACCTGATCTTAATGAGGATCAGTAGGATGTGAGATGCAGTAAAAGAGTTGAGTTGGTTGAGTGCTTTCAACACTGTAACTTTGACATGTCATTTCTCAACAGATTGGAGTATGCAGACCAACAAGGCAGGATAAAAAATGCAAGGTAATGCTCTAAACAAATATATCTAAAAGAATTCTCTTACTTTTTGCCATCTCTGAATTATTTGTGTATGTTTCTTCTGAAAAGATCTTTTTCTAGCTTTGACCTTCCTTAATTTTTCTATATCTTTGCACTGTTCACATTTTTCATGAAGTTTGCATAGAGTAAAACAACTAATTTGGTGAATAGCTTCGTTTTAGTCACTTCATTGCTGTTGAAATTGAAGCCAGATATGTTTCTGATAATGTTACATTCTTCATCTTCTTTCAGACTTCATATTGGGTTGTAAAAGTGTTAGCAGTGAATCTTAGTATGGGAAAATATAAACTTTACCAACATTGGTGTGTTTTCTGGCAAAAAACCAGAAGCTTGTGCTGCAACCTTTCCTGTTGCTTATAGCTGTTCTTTACCCAGATAATTAACATCAAATGTCTGAAGAGTTTCTGCTGTCCTTTCCACAAGGGTGCCAGGGTATCTTACTTACCCTGAGGAGGTTTTGGGCATTGTTCCACGTGCTTCACACTGCCCTGCTCTGTGTGTGGGTCACTAATTTGACTCTCCTCTGCCTTTATGAAGGAAATAGATTGAGAAGGATTACTCCTTAATAAATAGCTGCCTCATTTGTTGTCAGTTTTTGAGGTTTCAGCATTAGAAGATGATGTCATTGTAATGCTGGGTTTTATCTTTGGCTTGGAATGAAAGAATTGATTTGTAAATTCCTAATTGTCTGTGCAGGGAGGCTCACAGTCACATTGAGAACAGGCACAGGGACAAGATGAACACTTTCACTGTTCCATGTGTTACACATTGCCCTTCTCTGTGTGCTCTGTGTGTGTGTGTGTGTGCAGGGAGGCTCACAGTCAGATCGAGAAGAGGCGCAGGGACAAGATGAACAGTTTCATAGACGAGCTGGCCTCGCTGGTGCCCACGTGCAATGCCATGTCCCGCAAGCTGGACAAGCTCACTGTGCTCAGGATGGCTGTCCAGCACATGAAAACACTTCGTGGTGAGTTGCTTGTGATGCCTTAAGTTTTAGCTTTCATATTTTTCCAGATTCTGCACTGCATTGGTGTGTGACTCTGAACCCCATATAAAGTGTTACAAGTTCTCCTCCCAGCTCAGGCACACCAAACAATCCTTTTCCAGCCCCACAACCAAGGACACCGCTGCAGCTTCAGCCCCAAAAAGTGCAAACAGCAGAGAATTGAGGAGAGAACCTGGGTCTGGATTGGAAATGGACCAAAACTTATAAAAGTGTGAAAACTCATGACTCAGTGTCTGTCTTAGGTCCATCTTGGGTGTAGACCTGGCCAGGCTCTTGCACTGCCCAAGGTGAATCCTTTGAAGACCTTTTAATAAATCCCTACTTTATTCTTTTAAGTCTGTCTAGCCTCTGTTCCAGGTAAGCCTCTTTAGGCATCACCTGGGGCTGCAGGAGCATTCCAAGTGTCATTTCCCCAAAGCCATGCTTTTTTTCTTCCTTTTTTGCCAAAAAGGAGTAAGTTAGTTCATTTTTGGAGGACTTCTCCCCTTTTCTTAGCATTTGATGCTGTGTGTTCATTCACAGCTTACTAGTTCATGGTCCAGTAAATTCCCTGATGTGCCTGGGGGAACTTGGGGATGAGAAAAGAATCATTTTCCATCATGTGACCTATTGATCACTACTGCCATATTCCACAGCACCAAGGCAGCTGGGGAGAGGGAACAAAGGGCAGTGCACAGTTAATTCTGGTGCAGTACTGAGCACTGCTTTGAACAGGCAATGCGTCAAGTTGTTGGATAGAGAGGTTCGATTTTAGGTGTGATATTCTCACAGGATTTTTAAAGTTTTGTGTTAGTACCTTTAGCTTTGTGTAAAAGAGTAGAGATTACCTTAAAAACTCAATTTTGGTCTTTTTGACCAGTTTCTGTTGCAAGCACTTGAAGGGAAACACAGGTTTGGAAGAGTTGAGGTTGTGAGAAATCTCTGTGTGTTCCTAAAGCTTCAAATGAGTGAATCAGTGCTTGGCTACAATTGGTGCTGATGTTAAAAGCTTTAAACCTTCAAGAAATGCACCACTGAGAGAAAAAAGGGATGCAGCTAATGGTAAAAGAAAGACCCTGGTGATTGTTCTCATTTCTAGGAGAGCTGCTGCCTTCAGTTATATTTAACCTCCTGGTTTTGAAAGGCTTAGCTTTCCTGCCACTGTCATTTGGTGAGGTTAATACTTCATAACACTTCAGTGGTTACTAATTTGACTCTCCTCTGCCTTTTTGAGGGGAATAGAATGAGAAGAATTACTCCTTAATAAATAGCTACGTCATTTGTTGCCAGTTTTGGGGTTTTGGCATTGTAAGATGATGTCATTGTAATGCTGGGCTTTATCTTTGGCTTGGAATGAGAGAATGAATTTGTAAATTCCTAAGTGATGATTTGTTTACATGATCATATCATGTTTTACTGAGTTATAAGGAGAAGAAATAGTTTGGATGGTTTTATTCTTTAATATCTTATTTTTATAATTTCTAATTCTGAGACCAGGTCATAAATCAAGGACAGCCTTTGGGTTCAAAAAAATGTCAAGGAATACTTTTATATCTCAGAGGCATTTAATTTTAATTTCTACCTAATGCAGTACTTATGTCTTACGAAAAAAAGCTTCATCCTTTTTTAAGTTAATACTGACAAAGCTCATGTTGATAGTAAAACAAAACAAAAAAAGGTTCATTTTAAAGAACTCCTGCAATGAACAACAGCCTAAGAAGGAGCCAAAGGAGAATTGCTCATTTAAGTGTGTAATATTGGTGATATGGGAATTGTTTGTTTGTTTTCTTTAGGTGCTACAAACCCATATACAGAAGCAAACTACAAGCCTGCTTTTCTATCAGATGATGAATTAAAACATCTTATTCTCAGGGTATGTTCCAACTTTTAATTAAGAGATATTAATATCTGTGACTGTAGCTCTACCAAAGCACACCACCAGTATTTTTCTGCCTTGTATCTCAGCTTAAAAATGTTTTGATTATGGAGTATAATTAAGAAATCTGGAGACTGCTTCAGAGAGTCAGTGAGTTTAATGATGACTAGCACTTCTTAATTTAAATAGAAAGATTTTAGAGGGAGATTTAGGTGGGAACCATCAGAATCTTCAGTTATTACATGTACAAACCAAAATCACACAAATTGGTTTCTTGCAGACTTGCTTACCTTGCCATGATTTTCAGTGTACAGTGATACAATGAACACTTTTTTATTGGGGTCACTGATGTAACATGACTTAGCATGTTCAGCTGCCTGCTGTTACACTGCTTTTATAGTGTGGAGAGCTCATCTCATTAGTCACTAGTTCAGCTCTTCTGGTGACTGTGTAATTGTTGGAGCACTGCAGTGTCCAGATGCAGAATTTAATTTCTGAAGATACATAATTGGGGCCTATTGCTGCGTGCCTGTGTGTGACTGAAAGGCAGTACTTTGCAAATAGGAATTAGTTGCCTCCAGAAATACATATCCAGGTTATGGTTGGTTTCTAAATGAGGAGCTTTAAAATAACATTTTAATTTGAAGGCATTATTAAACATGATCATAATATTATTGGACAAGACATGGGTTCTTTCTTCTCATAAAAGTTATTTTACATTCTGGGCACAATGCCTAGAATGATGCCAAAAATGTTTGTAGATGCAAAAAAAAAACCCCTTCATTGTAATTTCACATTTTTCCTGTTGACTCACCTCTAAATGTTAAGACAGCTCTCCTAGTGTAAAAATTCTACTGTACACAAAGTGTTTTTAAAGGTTATAACAATGCAATGAGGATGTATAACTTGGGATTTGACTTTTCCCCTCCCCCCTCAATTAGGCAGCAGATGGATTTCTTTTTGTTGTGGGCTGTGACAGAGGGAAGATACTGTTTGTTTCAGAATCTGTCTTCAAGATCCTCAACTACAGTCAGGTATTCTTTTCCATTTTAAGTACATTAGGTCTTAAAAGATTTGAGAGCTTTTTGGTGGCTGTGCCTTTATCTGTGGGTAGGTATGTCTTGAAAGCTGAGAGGTGTTGCAAAGAGAGAGCTTTTCTCTGCCATGTCATTAGAGAAAATTGTTTTCTGGTTTCCATTCAAAGCAAGGAGGTGAAAAGGAACTAAATTTAATCCACTGATTGATGCATTCTGCTCAAGGATTTACCCTCGGGCTTGCAAAAGCATTAGCTAATTGTGAGTGCAAGCAAATACTGAAACATCAGTCTGGGGTTCTTTCAGTAGCTTCACTTGGATTTTTCAACTTAGTGTTCTTTCTATCTGTTCTGGTTTTGCTTGCATGCTTACTGATGGAAACTGGAAAGCATTTATATCAAAGCAAGGTTTTTAATACATGCTCAACATAAGGCTTAACTTGGACCATGCATTGTGTAAATTATCTTCATTTTTTCTGTCATCTGCACCCTCATCAAATTTAAAACCTGTGTTAGCTTCAAAGGTTTTCCTCAGTTGGTCTTTAGGTATATACTAAATACCTATTCATATGTAAATAATGAAAGAGAACATTTGCAATTAGGATTTTTTAAATTCAAGTGTGTGGTAGAAGAAGTAAGACTGAGTTAGAAACCAGAATATTTGGTGGGGGGGAGTTGAGTGTGCCAGTTCTGCAAAACTCTCACTAAAAAAAGATGACAGAAATTACTGTGTAACATGGTCATAACTTCCAAACACAGAGAAAAACCTTCCATCAAATCACAGAATCATAAAATAGTTTATTTGGAAGGGGATCTTTTAAAGGTCATCCAGTGCAAACCCCCTGCAATGAGACTGGGTCTGGATGTTTGGTATTCCTTGGCTACACTTATATATATAAGGATTATTCATGCTGGATGCTAAAATGAAGAAAATACACTGAGCCATTATTTTACTTTTTGACTGAATGTTCAATCTCTACAGAATGATTTGATTGGTCAAAGTTTATTTGATTATCTCCATCCTAAAGACATTGCCAAAGTGAAGGAGCAGCTCTCTTCTTCTGACACTGCGCCACGAGAAAGACTCATAGATGCAAAAAGTGAGTGCTACCACCTTGGGAAAAATGTCCTCTGGAGTCACTGCTGCTGGGGCTCTGCCTCAGGCCTGCAGTGGGGATGTGGGGGGCATGCTCTCTGCGTTGTCTCATGCCAAGGAAGCCATAGCTTAAAGACAGGAAAAAAACAAAAAAAGGAAAGAGAAGTGTGAAACTGGTACCTGGAAGCTGTTGGGTTTGGCAGGCACTGTGGCACAGAGGGGTCCTCTCTCTTCCAGGCATCAAAGCTTTAACTTCTTCCATTACAACAAAGGAAGCATTTTTTCTAATCCATCATTCTAAATGGTCAGAATCCACTCAGTATTATCTTGGTTGTCTGTAGCTGTCAGCCAAGCTAGAGGATTCATTTTATTTGTCTACTTATTTATTGTTTACTGCCACTGCCATCAATGACCCGGCCTTTCTCTCAGGTTTTTAACTTTGGAATCATTTCCTGCCATGCATCTTAGCTCTGTTCCACTCTGGTATTTTAAAGAAGTTCTGTATCTCTGCTGCTCTTGGGGTGAGTGGGTGTTTAATTCCCTCTCATAACAGGAGTTAAGTGGAAGGTGGTCTCTTACAACTGCAGATTTCCAGGTCATTAAGTTCTCATGCTTGTCAGGAGCATGAATCTCCTGGATCTCAGCTCACAGAAGCCACCAGCACAACTTCAGAAGCTGAAGTTGAGAGAGATCATTTGAGGGCAGGGAGCCTGGAGGCTTCAGCAGAATCAGCTGAAGTTTTTTCTGGCTCCTGGTTTCATCGGTTGTCAAGCATGAATATCCAGTGCTGCCTCCTGGTTTTTTTGGGGTTGTTTTTTTTTTTTTTTTGTATGCCTCTGACAAAGTTAGGGCGAAAATAAATACTATGAATTACAGTCTTCCCATCTGCTATGATAGACGGATTGGTAGAGTTTCAAGAGCTCATACTGGTGAAGAGTATGAGGATGTGTGCACGTATTTATTTTTGTCTTGGCATGAGTAACTCAGCACAGCTTGTACTCACACCACAGTGCAGCAGCTTGGAGGGCATGTGGCACAGGACAGCCTGGCCTCCTGGACATCACCTCACTCCAGTGCAACTGTAAGGGAGGCACACTTCCCACTAAAATGCTGGAATTGCTGTCTTCCTCCTTATGTTAAAAGACCACAAAGCCTGAGAAGTTTTCGTTCATGTTGACAGCTGCTTGATTTTACACATCCCCATGCAGACATGGTTGGAGTGGATGGCAGGCTGTGAGAAAATTGCTGTGGGATTTAAGTCCTCCATCAGCCCTTGGAACACTGGCCTTGCTGATAGCTGTGCTCCTGATGCATGCCATGGAAGCATTCCATGTCTTCCTGGGGCCCCGGTGGTACAAGAGGGATGTGTTTTGGTTGGTTTTCCCACAGAAAAGAGTCCCTTGTGAGAATATGAGAAAGGTCAGGATTTATTGTTAGGACATATCCATGTGCACCTATTTCTGCAAGGCAAGAGGGACTTCTGAGACATAACTGGAGGTCTTGGGGATTTGCAGTTCCTGTGTGGGTCCCTGCTACCTTTTCTCCTGCCTCTGTCCCTGGAGTGTCATTGAGGCTCTTCTGCTCTATGTGCACACGTGTTTTCTGGGAGGGTGTTGTGACAGAAAAGGGCCAGGAGCCTCCTGAGTGACTGTGTATGGAGTTCTGCTCTGCTTGTGGAAAAGTAATCTCTCTATTTTTAATAAGTTCAGAGGAACTGCAGTGTTTATCACTTGTGTGGATTTGTCCAATCCCTTGCTGCTCTTGGCACTCAGCTCCCTGTGCTCTCGAGCTCTCACAGCACAGAGTCAGAACCTCAGCATTGCTGTGGTCAGCTGGGTCCTGCACAGCCACACACATCAGAACCTCAAACCCAGGAGGGGGTGAAGCGTTGTGGGGTGGGGTTTGTGGGGCAGTTCCCTGTGCCATTTCCCTGAGCCTCCCTCTCTGTCACACAGCCGGGCTCCCTGTCAAGACAGACATCACGCCCGGGCCCTCGCGCCTCTGCTCGGGCGCGCGCCGCTCCTTCTTCTGCAGGATGAAGTGCAACAGGCCCTCTGTCAAAGTGGAGGACAAGGATTTCCCTTCAACCTGCTCAAAGAAGAAAGGTAACCATCATGCTTTTATTACCAAAGCTGTCAGGATTTATTGGTTTTTTTTATACTGCTCGTTTGCAGTGGTTACATTTTTTATGTTTATTGATGTTTCTTACTAAGATTCTGAACTATGTTTAGGTCCGTTACTTCTTCAAACTCTTCCTCGCCCCCCTCCAGTATCTCTTACACATCTGTATTAGTATTTAAAGCCAAATTCTCCACTCTGGTTTATTGAAACTTTTTCAGGCAGTCTGTGCCAACAGTTCTGAGGGTTATTGCATCATCTTCAGGCGTGGTCAGATCACAGTTTAAAACATGGTCAAGACATTCAGTCTGGACCACCTGGCCAGTGTCTCTAGTAGAGGGGAGCTGTTCCTTGTTCTCTGCTCCATATTTGCCCAGTGATATGTGGATGGATGTCCACCTCAAAAAATGAGTGTGATTCTAAGTTCATCTGTGTGTTTGGTACATTCTGAGTACTGGAAATATGGCATTTCTACACCTGGAATATTTGCTCGTAGCATTAGCAGTGTTGGTAATATTTTCTCCTCTGCAGGCTGTTATTCCAGGCATGTTGGAATACATATTTAGCCCAAATGTGAAGGTTTCTTCTTTGAGTACTGTGAATAATAAATCTAGTGTTAAAGTGTAAATACAAATAGCAAGAGAACAGAGGTAATTTTGGTGTATTCTCTGGCTGGGCCAGCTGCCCCAACTCCCTGTGAGGTTCAGGCTCAGCTTCAGCCTTGGATCCTGCTTTTGTGCTCACTGCTGGGGAAGCCACTTTGTGTAGCTGGCATGAGCCTTTTACTCCACCTCCCCATGAAAGTCTTCTTCCTTGGAGTTTTCAGGCCTGCTCAGTGCTGAGGAATAGGAATTCTCCTTCTGGATACTGACATTGCAAACCTTCATCACCCCTGTGTATAGCTGTCCCCAGCACACCCCAGATAGTGTTAGTGTATGTTCTGCCAAACATGGGTTTTGTAGGAGCCTCAGGTTAAGATGAAAGAGGCATTTTATTTATTAATCTACTAATTTCTTCATACATTCCTTTCGGTTATTTGCTTCCTTTGAAATAATAAAATGTGATGCAATTTTTGCTCAAAATTACTGAAAACAACCTTGGTCTGAACTCTGTGATGTTTCAGCATAAACAGTGGTTTTGCCAAGATAAATTGTTTATTGGATTATCTGAGATTAGCTGCATTACAGCAGGAGTGCTGAAAAATCCTTTAGAACCACAGAGTCATTAAGGCTGGAGAAGGTTTCCAAGGTCACTGAGTTTTAGCCTTTGACCCTTGTCAACCAGACTGTGGCACTGAGTGCTGTGTCACTTCTTGAACACTTCCAGGGATGGGGACTCCAGCACCTCCCTGGGCAGCCCCTTCCAGTGCTGAACAATCCTTTCAGTGAGGAAATTCCTCCTGGTGTCCAACCTGAGCCTCCCCTGGCACAGCTGGAGGCCGTGTCCTCTCATCCTGTCACTGTTTCCTATGAGAAGAGGCCGATCCCCCCTGGCTCCCCCCTCCTGTCAGGCAGTTCTGGACAGTGATGAGGTGTCCCCTGAGCCTCCTTTGGTCCAGGCTCTCCTTAGTGAAGAGCATCCCAAATTTCCTGGCTCCCTCCTCCTGTCAGGCAGTTCTGGAGAGCCATGAAGTCTCCTCAGTGACGAATATCCCAAACTTCTTGGCTCCCCCCTCCTGTCAGGCAGTTCTGGAGAGTCATGAGGTCTCCTTAGTGAAGAGTATCCCAAATTTTGTGCATAGGAGAGGAGGTGCATTATTAGCAGAACTGAGTTTTAGTTCTCCAAAGCCGTATCCACGACCTAACTCCTTTCTTGGGTTCTGTTGCTTTGTTTTTTCGCTTGTTTCCTTTCCACAGCAGACCGCAAAAGCTTTTGCACTATTCATAGCACAGGCTACTTAAAAAGCTGGCCTCCCACAAAGATGGGGCTGGATGAGGACAACGAGCCAGACAACGAGGGCTGCAACCTGAGCTGCCTGGTGGCCATCGGGAGGCTCCATCCCCACGTGGTGCCGCAGCCGGCCAACGGCGAGATCCGCGTCAAGCCCACCGAGTACGTGTCCCGCCACGCCATCGACGGCAAATTCGTCTTCGTGGACCAGAGGTGGGAGCTCCCCTGCTGTCAGGAACGCCAGGTTCACCTGCTGGCTTCCCCTTGGGTTCCTGGCATGCTTTGTCCTGCTTTGTATTTCCATATATGTGTGCACAAATAACGGGAGGGGAATGCTGCAGCAGTTGTTTCGAAGCCTTTATTCCGTTGATGCCT